AATTCCATTCACAGAACACAGTACCCAACAGCTGCAGAGTACACAATCTTTTCAAATAAACACTGAACATTTACCAGAACTGACCATATGCTGGGCCACATAGACTTCAAAGGATTTAAATTATACAAATTATGTTCTGTCACTTCAAAATAATTATGCCAATAACAACAGAAAGTTAACTGGAAAATATCTACGCTTGAGGAACTGAGAAACGCATCTAAATGACACTTGAATTAAGATGAAATCATAGTAAAAACTGGGAAATATTTTGAACTGAACGACAATGAAATGATTATAAAAACTGATTAGATGTTAGCAGAAGCCCCAGCTACACTTTTAAAGTCTGAGGCCTGTAACTGCAAAGGACTGGAAGCCGGGATACTGCCACCTCTCTCAGGAAGCTGGAGAAAGAACCGCGCGGTCACAGGACAGAAACACTGAAGAACGATCGGGAACAGATACACCCCAGAGCTGACCAAAGGCAAGACAAATAGCAGGAAGAGACATCAGCATAGAATATGAACACCTTCATGCCTACAAATTGCAAAAACTATGAGAGTCAAATTCTTAAAAAACAAAATGAAAATCCCCAAACAGGAAACCTGAGCACCGTCTCACCACCAGGAAGGGAGCAGACGCGCTGACAGCTCTCACCGCAGGCAGCCTGAGCCCAGGCCGCAACACTGATCAGCTGTGCTGGTCCTCTAGGAACAACGTTACATCATCTCTCCCTAGAAGATTCCTAAACAGTTTTACAAAGCAAGCATGACACTGATGCCAAACCTAACATGGACATGGCGAGACCATCCTGAAACATAAACACAACACACACAAGAACTTAACAAGAGTGAACAAAGCCACTGCGTGCCAAGTCAGAAGCCACGCAGGTTCAGTCCGTGGAACTTCAGCAATGAAATTTACTGTTCATGGCATAAAAGAGAATAATATGTGATCAGCTCAGTATACACAGAAAGATCTTTGGATAAACTCCATACTCCATGTTATAAAAAGAGACCTAGAAAATGACCAAGAACAGGACACTTGTATAATGTGATAAGATGTATGTACAAGGAACCTACAGCAAACATATTTAATGATATAATAGCAAAAGTTTTTCCTCCAAAGAGTAGAATGGGATCAGAAGACCCACTATCAACATTTCTTGTCATTACTGTACTGGAAATTCTATTTGATCCAATACGAACTAAAAAGTTTAAGGATTAGATATAAACATAAAAAAAACCTGCCATTTCTGGCTGATACAAAAGTGTACACAGAAATACAAAAGAATCCAAACATACAAGTCCTACGAAGTAAGTAAACTTAGCAAGGTCACTGGATAGAAGCTCAATTAAAAAATTAAAGTTATCTTTCTGTATACAATCAACAAATGAAAAGAAAATGAAAATCCCAAAACAATGAAATTTACTGCATTAAAAATATTAGACCTCTTGGAATAAATCTAATGAAAGATGTGCAAGTTCACTAGACAGAGAAGCAGAAAAAAACTGCAAAATGACGAGTCCATTAAATGGAAGGATGATCCATGCTCATGTATTAGAAGATTCAATCTTATTTGGAGAGATGTCATTTCCCCGCAAAGTGATCTAAAAATTCAAGGCAGTGCCACTCAGAACCACAGTGGGGATCAGCTCCTGGCGTGTGTGACAGCAGCGGCGTGGTTTTACATTCACTCGTGAATGCAACAGGTCTAGAACCGTTCCTGCAGAGGGACAGGAAGACCCACACCTCGGACATGAAGACTTCCAACAAAACACAGAAATTAAGCAATTACCACATTGACAAGAGAACAGAGCAAAAAGACCATCTCTTTAAAAGATCGCCACTTGGGGACTGTGCTGTGGAGTAGCGGGCAGGGCTGCCGCCGGCATCCCATCTGGGCACCGGTTAGTGTTCTGGCTGCTCCGCTTCTGGTCCAGCTCTCTGCTGTGGCCCTGGGAGGGCAGTGGAGGATGGCCCAAGTGCTTGGGCCCTGCACCCACGCGGGAGACCTGGAGGAAGCCCCTGGCCCCTGGCCCCTGGCCCCTGGCTGTGGTCTGGGCCAGCTCTGGACGCTGCAGCCATTTTAGGGGTGAACCAGCTCTGTCTCTTCCTCTCTCTCTCTCTCTCTCTCTAATTCTGCCTTTCAAATAAATACATAAATCTTAAAAAAAAAAAAAAAAACCTTTATAAAGATCACCCCTTTAACAAACACTGTGGATTTATAGACTATGGCAGCAGAGCGTGACAGTGACAGCACGAGCATGGGGAAGGGAAACAGAAGCACAGGCTAAGAGTACAACACATGTGAAACTGTTTACTACTTGAATGTGGACTGACAAAGAGGTATACTGTAAACCCTCACCCCATCATAATAAGAACAAGGCACAGAGCTAACAAGACAATAACCGAAATGAAAAGGAATCTTTAACGTGGGTCAAAGACAAAAATACAACAAGAAGGCAGGCATAAACTAAGCCATACTGACCGTTACGATACTAAGGCAGGCATAAACTAAGCCATACTGACCGTCACGATACTAAGGCAGGCATAAACTAAGCCATACTGACCGTCACGATACTAAGGCAGGCATAAACTAAGCCATACTGACCGTCACGATACTAAGGTAGGCATAAACTAAGCCATACTGACCGTCACGATACTAAGGCAGGCATAAACTAAGCCATACTGCCCGTTACGATACTAAGGTAGGCATAAACTAAGCCATACTGCCCGTTATGATAGTGGAACGGTCCAGGCCAGTGCCTGTACAGAGCTCTCAGTGAGGAACACTGAAATGCAGCTCGCGTGACTGACGGCCTGAATCGGAGTCCTGACAGTGCTAGTCACTGCAGGCCGCACACTCTCATCAGAAGATGAGACGGCTATACCAGAAGTAAAGCAAACACTTACATCTGTCTACAACAAACCTACTTAAAACAAGTTGTAAGTGGACTGGGAGACGTATGCAAGAAGAATGCTGAAGAGCCTGAACAAGTAATCAACGCGGAACTCAGACCCGGCATCCGCATCAGGGAAGAGGGACATTCCATGAGGGAAAGGGGCGAGCCGTCAAGAAAACGCAGTGCTACACACGTGTGCAGCTGGGAACAGGAGCTTCAGAATGTGGGGCAAAAGTTGATGGGAAGAAACAAATCCTCAGTTAGCTTCACTCTTTTCACTGCAAATAAGAGGAAAAAAACCAGCAAGCACACAGAAGAAACGAGCAATGCTACTCACCCAGCTCATCACTTACTTAGCATTTACAGAACATTCCACACACCAGAACACACCTTCCCAGTGAGTGTGGAACACGCACAGGACAGACCACATCCTAGACCACAAAGCCAGTGTCAAACACGGAGTATGCTCTGTGACCAACAGATTTTTTTTTAAAGATTTATTTGAAAGGCAGAGTTACAGAGAGGAAGAGAGAGAGAGAGAGAGAAGGAGGAGGAGGAGGAGGAGGAGGAGGAGGAGGAGGAGGAAGGAAGGAAGGAAGGAAGGAGGGAGGGAGGGAGGGAGGGAGGGAGGGAGGGAGGGAGGGAGGGAGGGAGGGAGGGGTCTTCCATCCTCTGGTTCACTCCCCAAATGACTGCAATAGCTGGAGCTGGGCCGATCCGAAGCCAGGAGCCAGGAGCTTCTTCTGGGTCTCCCACACTGGTGCAGGGGCCCAAGGACTTGGGCCATCTTCCACTGCTTTCCCAGGCCACAGCAGAGAGCTGGATCGGAAGTGGAGCAGCTGGGACTCGAACCGGCGCCCATGTGGGAGACTGGCACTGCAGGCAGTGGCTTTACCCACTATGCCACAGCGCTGGCCCCAACCCCAATAGATTTATTTTTAATTTTTTAAAAGATTTGTTTATTTTATTTGAATGCCAGAGTTACACAGAGAGAAGGAGAGACAGAGAAGCAGAGAGAGAGAGAGGCAGGCGCGTGCGCGGGGTGGGGTGGGGGGGTTGTCTTCCATCTGCTAGTTCACTCCCCAATTGGCCACAATGGCCAGAGCTGCGTCAATCCGAAGCCAGGAGCCAGGAGCTTCTTCTGGGTCTCCCACGTGGGTGCAGGGACCCAAGGACTTGGGCCATCCTCCACTGCTTTCCCAGGCCATAACAGAGAGCTAGATCGGAAGTGGAGCTTGAACCGGTGGCCACGTGTGATGCTGGCACTGCAGATGGCAGCCTAACCCACTAGCCACAGCACCGTCCCCACCCCAATAGATATAAACTAGAAATCAATTAATGAAAAATGCACAAATTATTGGAAATTAGAAAACATGCTTTTTAAACAGTCAACTAAATGAAAGTGAAAATGAAAACTCAACGTCAAAATCTGGGATGGCTGGCACTGTGGCACCGTGGATTGAGCCGGCGTCTCATATGAGCACTGGGTGGAGTCCCAGATACTTCACTTCTAATCCAGCTCCCTGCTCATGCACCTGGAAAGACAGTGTAGGAGACCTGGATGTAGCTCCTGCCTTCGACCTGGGCCAGTCCTGGTCATTGCAGTCTTTTAGGGAGTGAACTAGAGGATGGACGATTTTGTCTCTTCCTCTTTAACTCTGCCTTTCAAAGCAATCAATAAATCTTAAAAAAAAAAAAAAAAAAAAAAAGAACAGAAAAGAAAAAGGAAAGAAGTTGCTGGAATCTGAGGCAGGCACTTGGCTTAGCAGGTAAGACACTGCTGGGGCTGTGGCAGGTTGAGGGCCGACGCTGTCGCTCAGCAGGTAATGCTGCCTGCGAGGCTGGCATCCCGTGCAGGCAGCAGTTCGTGTCCTGGCTGCTCCACTTCCAATCCTGCTCCCCGCTGATGGCCTGAGAGAAGGAGCGGAGGGTGGCCCAAGTGTCTGGGCCCCTGCTGCCCATGTGGGAGACTGGGACAGGGCTCTTGGCTTGGCTTGGCTTGGCCCAGCTTTGGCTGTGCGGACATCTGGGGATGTCCCTTTCTGTAACTCTGCCTCTCAAATAAATAGAAGTCTTTTTTTTAAAAGACTTTTTTTTAAAAAGACTTCTATTTATTTATTTGAGAGGCAGAGTTACAGACAGTGAGAGAGAGAGACAGAGAGAAAGGTCTTCCTTCCGTTGGTTCACTCCCTAGATGGCCACAATGGCCGGAGCTGTGCCGACCCAAAGCCAGGAGTCAGGTAATTGTTCCTGGTCTCCCATGCGGGCACAGGGGCCCAAGCATCTGTGCCATCTTCCACTGCTTTCCCAGGCTGCAGCAGAGAGCTGGATTGGAAGAGGAGCAGCCGGAACTAGAACCGGCGCCCATATGGGATGCCAGCGCCGCAGGTGGAGGGTTAACCTACTGCCCCACAGCACCGGCCCCAGTAATTAGAAGTCTTAAAAAAAGAAACGCTGCTTGGGATACCTAGGTCCTGGTCCTGCTCCTGATTACGCACACCTGGGCAGCCGCACGTGCTGACTCAAGTAACTGCGTCTCTGACGTCCACATTCGGGACAGACTAACTTCCTGGTTCTGGCACGTGCCTGTGTGGGTCTTCGCAGACACTTGTGGATGGGAACTCTTTCTCAAATAAATTAATTAAATTTTCATTTTTTATTTTTAAAAACTATGTATTTGAAAGACAGAGTCAGAGCAAGAGCATGCTCCCATTTGCTGGTTCCCCCTCAAACGCCAGCGACGGCCAGGGCCGGGGCAGGCTACAGCCAGGGCTCCACCCGGGTCTCCCACAGTGGTGATGGGTCCAACTGTTTCTGCTGCTCCAGGAGCACTGGCAGGGAAATGGGTTGGAAGTGGAGCAGTCAAGACTCAAACCAGCGCTCATATGGGACGCCGGCATTACAGGCAGTAGCTTAACCCGCTGTACCAAAACGCCAGCCCCAATACAATTTTTAAAAATGTGTGAGATTCACCTAAACAAGTAGAGGGCAATTTAGATTTCTAAGTGCTCACATAAGGAGAAAAAAAAGGCCCTCAAAATCAATGGCCTAAGGACTGGGCTAAGTCCCAGCCTATGATGCTGGCAGCCACACGAGCACTAGTTCGAGTCCTAGCTCTCCACAACTCCCTGCTAGCGTGCCTGGGAGGGCATCGGAAGGCGGTCCAAGGAGGACACCTGCCACCAGTGTGGGGAACCCAGAGGAAAGCTCCCGGCTTCAGCCTGACCCAGCCCCAGCCACTGTTGCCTTCTGGGGAATGGACCAGCAGATGGAAGACCTTTCTCTGTCTTACTCTCTCTTTAAACTCTAACCTTTCAAATAAATAAATCAATCAATCTTTAAAAAAAATCAATGGCGGCTGGCGCCGCGGCTCACTAGGCTAATCCTCTGCTTTGCAGCACCGGCACACCGGGTTCTAGTCCTGGTCGGGGCGCCGGATTCTGTCCCGGTTGCCCCTCTTCCAGGCCAGCTCTCTGCTGTGGCCAGGGAGTGCAGGGGAGGATGGCCCAAGTGCTTGGGCCCTGCACCCCATGGGAGACCAGGAGAAGCACCTGGCTCCTGCCTTCAGATAGGCGCAGTGTGCCGGCCATTGGAGGGCGAACCAACAGTAAAGGAAGACCTTTCTCTCTGTCTCTCTCTCTCACTGTCCACTCTGCCTGTCAAAAAAAAAAAAAAAAAAAAAAAAAATCAATGGCTTAAACTTCCAATAAAAAGCTGGAAAAAGAACACATTAAATCAAAGAAATAAAAGAAGGTGAAAGCAAAAATCAATTAAGTAGAACACGGGAAATATTAATGAAACCAAAAAATTGCTTATTTGAAGGCTAATGAAATTGATAAACTTGTAGCTGGACAGACCAGGGGAAAGGAGGACTGGGGCTGGTGCTGTGGTGTAGCGGTTAAGGTGCTGCCTGTGCAGCACTGGCATCCCACATGGTGCCACCTGAGTCCCGGCTGCTCCACTTCCGACCCAGCTCCTGCTCATGTGCCTGGGAGAACAGCAGACGATGGCCCATGCACCTGGGCCGTCTCCACTGCTTTCCCAGGCCATAGCAGGGAGCTGGTTGGAGGTGGAGAAGCTGGAACTCAACCAATGTCTATTTGGGATGCCAGCGCCACAACACTGGCTCCAAAATAAATCTTAAAAAAAAGAAAAAGAGAAAGGACTCACATTACACATACCAAGAATGAAAGTTTCAGGCCATTATCACTGTAGATGCTGATGCGATTAGAAGGATGAGGGAGCGGGGCTGTGCGGCACAGTGCGTCAAGCCACCACCTGTGATGCCTGCACCCCACATCAGAGCTGGATGGAACCCTGGGCGCTTCACTCCTGATACTGGGAGGGCAGCAGAGATGGCTCAAGTACCTGGGCCCCTGTCACCACATGCAAAACATGAATGGAGTTCCTGGCTCCTGGCCTGAGCCTGGCTCACACCTCGCTGGCGTCGCCATTTGGGGAGCGAATCAGCAGATGGATGTCTATGGCTGTCTCTGTCTCTGTCTCTTCCTCTCTCTCTGTTGCACTTGGGCCATCTTCTACTGCTTTCCCAGGCCACAGCAGAGAACTGGTTTGGAAGCAGAGCAGGTGGGACCCGAACCCGCGCCCACATGGGATGCCAGCACTGCAGGCGGTGGCTTTACCTGCTACACCACAGTACTGGTCTTGCAAATAAATCTTTAAAAGAGGTCAGGACAATCAGAATTTGATGAACAACTTTAAACCAAAATAAACTAAAACAAGCAAACAAAAAACCAGGGCTGCCACTGGGGCATAGTGGATTAAGCTGCCACCTGCCATACCAGCATCCCATATAGGCACTGGTTCAAGTCCCAGCTGCTCTGATCCGATCCGGCTCTCGGTTGATGCACCTGGGAAAGCAGTGGAATGACTCAGATGCTTGGGCCCCTGCACCCACGTGGGAGACCAGGAAGAAGCTCCTGGCTGGGCCCAGCTCCAACGTCACAGCAATCTGGGGAATGAACCAGTAGATGTGAAGATCTCTCTCACTCTCTCTCTAACTCTGCCTTTCAAATAAATAACTAAATCTTAAAAAGAAAATCAGCAGAGATGCCTGTAGTATAAAGGGACATGGTAGGCCATGGAGGAGAATTAGAGGAGGCAATGTTGGCAGAGGCACGAGCTGGAGCCTGGAGGCGGGGCAGAGCCGCTGGCCACACAAGCCCCATGAAATCATTTGGTCCGGTCCTGCCAGGGCGATTCCAGGGGATTCAAAATTCAATAAATCTATACCGGGTGAATTTTTAAGCTAATAATTTCGTATGTCCTGCAAATGATGTTATAAATATCTAAATGGCAGAAAAAAAGGTTCCCCACTCCTGATATAGAGGAATCAAACAAATCCGAAAAATCAGTCTGTAACTGGATGACATACACTACCCAATTTCAAGACTTTCCATAGATCTACAGCAATCAAATGATCTTGCTCTGAAGGGTAAAGAGATGAATGGAATAGAACGGGGAAATCCAGAAACACACCCCCCCCACACACACACACTTCTCTTGAGCAAGGTGCCAAGGGAATACAACATATGCTGAATTCAACATTAGTAAACGTTGCTAGAATGACTATGATGACACATGAAGGAAACAACGATCCTTCACCTCTACCTCACACAATAAACAAAACCCAGTAGCAACAGATCATCGACCAGAATTCAAAGCACCAAGCTGCTGGGGTAAAAGCTGTGTGGCCTGAGTCACCACCAGGACTGCCTGCATCCCGAGGTCGGTCGAGTCCCAGAGAGTCCACTTCCCATTCAGTCTCCTGCTAGTGCGTCCTGGAGGCAGCAGGTGATGGCTTAAGCGCTTTGGTCCCTGCTACCCACATGGGTTCTGGGTTCCTGGCTTCAGCCTGGCCTAGTCCTGGTTGTTGTGGGCATTTGGGGAGTGAATGAGCAGATGTAAGACCTCTCTCTGTCACTCTGTCTTTCAGATAAACAATCTTTAAAAGAACACTATAGGCAGACGTCAAAAAAATATCATCTAGACATATAGAGCACACAGACGGCAGCTGCGTTCACATGAAACCCTATACAAAAGACAACAACATTTGAAGCGCAGAGTTTAATCAGTGGCGGCCTGGAGCCAGGGCAGGTGTGGGGCTCAAAGGGTGGAGTGAAAGGGAACCTAAGGGGAGGGAGGTGTATCCCATCATGATCGTGCTGGCGATTTATGCAAAATCTGTGAAAATCCACCAGAAGTTCACTCAAAATAGGTGCATTTTACTGAATGCAAACTGTACTTACTAAAGTCAATTAATAACACAGAGCAATGGATTATAACAGAAAACTGATATACAGAGCCTTATAAACACAGACGGATCAATTAATGACAACTATGGCTCAGAACAGAGCGGTGGTTACAGGCAGCTGTAAGATTCGGGCAGGACCACTGGACATGCGCACTGAAATTAGCCACAAAACAAAACAAACCAGCTCCCCACACTTAATCTCTATCTTATATTTCACTCACTAGAGTGAGTTTTTTGATATAAATTGGAAAAGTTTCTATTAAAGAGGAAAATATTTTCATAAACTTGGTAAATCAAAGTTTCTTAAACAGGACCTAAAAAGCACCAACCGTATAGGAAAAGACAGATTAAACAAATGGGCTACATTAAAAATCAGAACTTCTGATCTTTCGGAAAGACAAAGCCAACATACGACCAGTCTCCACGAGACACTCCAAGTGTGTGTCTACACCGTGAGAAATGAGTACTTCACAAGGCCTGATATCCGAACGGCCAATCAACAGGTAAAAAACTGATCAATGGCTTTAGCCCTCAGGGACACAAAATGAGACAGCAGCGCACAAATTAAGGACTGACCATACCAAGAGTCGCGGAGGCCATAGAGCAACTGATGGGCAGATGAGAGTTGAAGACAGCTGAGGGAATGCCCAGGAAGCGAGCATTGTCAAAACCATGCACAGGTGTCAAACATTTCTGCATCGAAGTATCTTTCAATTCTTTTCAGGAATTTATTTCCTGTGATCTGGCAATTCCACTGCTAGAGAGAGCACGAGCGAGCGAGCGAGCAAGAGACAGACACACCAACAAGCTTCAAAAAAGTTCATGGAAAAATAAAACTAAATATAAAACTGAAGATAACACACAAGGGCCAATGCTGTGGTGCAGTGGGATAAATCCTGGGCCTGAAGTGTTGGCATCCCATATGGGTGCTGGTTCGAGCCCTGGCTGCTCCACTTCCGATCCAGCTCTCTGCTGTGACCTGGGAAAGCAGAAGAAGATGCCCAAGTGCTTGGGCACCTGCACCCATGCGGGAGACCCAGAAGTTGTTCCTGGCTCCTGACTTTGGATAGGCCCAGCTCCAGCTGTTGCAGCCATTTGGGGAGTGAACAGCAGATGGAAGACCTCTCTGTCTCTACCTCTCTCTCTAACTCTTTCAAATAAATAAAAATAAATATTTTTTTAAAAAAAGATAACACACATACCCATGACCTTTTTGATGGCTGCTTGTAAATATCCACCAAAAAATTATAAATATGGGTACAAGATTGTTCACAGAATTAGGCATAATAACCTCAAATTAAAATCAAATGTCCAACTGAGAAACAAAATCGCCAACCATGAACAGATAAATATTAGCTAACTATGGTATATTCAATCAATGGACACTGATTACACAGTGATAACAGTGAATATACTGCTCGGGCAGGGAGCAGCATGGATGAATCTCAGAACTCCTGAAAATCGACACATGAAATACATACATCCTGCCTAATCCCATCTATGTAACATTCAAAACTAGTGCTAGCTTACTAAAACAAACAAACAAACAAACAAACAAACAAAAAAAAAACTGCTGGGCCGGCGCTGTGGCTCACTTGGTTAATCCTCCACCTGCGGCACTGGCATCCCATATGGGCACCGGATTCTGTCCCGGTTGCCCCTCTTCCAGTCCAGCTCTCTGCTGTGGCCAGGGAGTGCAGTGGAGGATGGCCCAAGTACTTGGGCCCTGCACCCGCACGGGAGACCAGAAAGAAGCACCTGGCTCCTGGCTTCGGATCGGCACAGTGCCAGCCCTGGCAGCCATTGGGGGGTGAACCAATGGAAGGAAGACCTTTCTCTTTGTCTCTGTCTGTAACTCTACCTGTCAAATAAATTAAAAAAAATTTTTTTTTAAACTGCTAAGAAATAAAAAATGCTTATCAGAAGGCAAGCACCATTCTAAGTAATTCTTGAGTTCCAACTTGATTTTTACAACTCTGTATGTTAGATGCCACAAAGTCACAAAGATGTTAAACACCTGGCCCAGGGCCGCCGAGCGGCACAGTGCTGGGGCTAGGAGAGGGCAGGACACCCTGCTCGGGTGGGTGTCTGTTAAACACGAAGCACAACCTCTTCGTCACAGAGCTGTGACGCCAAGGTGCAGGGAGGCGAACCAGCAGAAGGAGGTGGAAGGATGGCTCAATCCTCACCTTTCAAAGAAAAAAAAATCAGTGGCTAACACTGAGAAGTGGAGCGCAGGAGTCGGGATCGTGACCTGTCAGTACACGGTGTCCTGAGACACCTGGAGAGGGCAGGAACAGAGCTAAATGCCTCGAGGGAGCAAGCGGGGCCAGGGCAACGTCAGATATTAAACTGGACTTACCAGTCCTGTACCACTGTTTTCCACAGATACTACACATACATGATACAGTGATACAAATTTCACTTCAATGTATTTTTAAGAATTCTGTTTTCACTTTATTTGAAAAGCATACAGGGAGAAAGAGCTTCCATAGGCTGGTTCATGCTCCGGATGCCGGCCACAGCCAGGGCTCGGCCACGCTGGTGTCAGGAGTCTCAACTCCATCTGGGTATCGCACACGGTGAAGGGACCCAAACACATGAGCCGTCACCGGCTGCTTCCCAGCGTGCGTGTTGGCAGGAAGCTGGACGGGAAGTGGAGCTGGGACTGGAACCAGACACTCAGACAAGGCATGTGGGTCGCCCACGTGGCAGCTTAACCACGGTGCCAAATGCCCACCCCAACAAAAACCATCTTAAAGACTTGATTTTAAAAATAAAACTGGCAGCTATTTAGTGAGCTCCCACAGCGCCCTGGCACTTCGCTAAGCGGTTCAACGCGTTTCTCACGGAACTCACCTAACAATCTGACGCTGGTCCTATCGCCACCCTCGTTTTGCTGATGAGGAAACGGATCAGGTACTCAACCGTCCAGGGTGACTGGCTGGCACGTGGCAGACTTGTGGTACAGCCGGCTGCCGGTGTCGGGCCGCATTCCCACAAGGCAAGGTGAGGGCCGGGAATCAGACACCGGCAGTCCGTGCTGGGACAGTCAGGAGGCCCAGGCCCAGGCCTGGACAGGAGTGAGTAACTTGCCGCTGATGGGGAGGGAGGGGTGCGCCGTCAGGAGTGGGCGGGAGAGGGTGCTCCAGCAGCAGGCCTGTGTAACCGAGGACACACTGGTCCCTTCTCCAAAGAAAAGACGCCCGTGCGCCGGGAAGGAGCAGCCGCTGAGGGAACGCTAACCTCTCCCGGGGGCCCACGAGCTGAGCAGCAGGGCAGCAGGACGGGCCGGGGACGCGTCTGCCGCTGTCGCCAGGAGGGCAGTGCTGGAAGAAAGGGGTGAGCGACAAAGACGCTGGGGTCCCAGAGCCCAGGTCGTGAGACAGAAAGCCGCATTCTGAGGCTGAAGAGAAAGAAGGAAGGAAAGGGAGAAGGGGGGGAATGAGAGGGAGCCGTGCATCCCTCCCTCCCGTGAGACGTGAGCCAAGAGCGGGTGAGAGCAGGCTCAGGAGTCACTGGCAGAGGCTGGGAGGAGCCACGGCCTCCCCGGCAGGGGCCAAGCTCACCCTTCCCTCTCATCCCTCCTGGGGGGCCACGCCTCACCACGCTGCTGGAGGGTTTCCCGTTCTGACTCAGGTGAAGCTGTCACTCACTGAGTCATCAGTGCTACCTGCTGTCAACTCTGTCAACTTCACTTCTCCACGCAGGTAGCGACAGGCAGGCGCTTCCGAGGGTGAGGTCAGACTTCAAGCATGTGGACACACCCAGTCCTTCCGTGTAGGGCATTTTAATTACAGGAACAGTTGGGGGTGGATTCCATCCCCTGGCTTCAAATGTGTAGGAAACCCAGAGCTCACAAAGCACACCAAAGATTCTGAGTGCGTAAACTGACAGCAGGGCTTCCAACGCCGCAGCGGGCAATCTTCCGGCAGGGCAGGCAGGGCCCACCCCGCACAGAGCACAAACGCGGATTCCACCCTTACGATGGAGAACAGCGAAGCTCTCTTCAAATGGAGGCATCGACAAGGGAGCACACCAGCTACCCAGCGTTAAAACACCCCGCTCACCCCGAGAAACTCACACACCCCCTGCAAAGCGTGCTTCCACGAGCCAAAGACCTACAGGTACAACCTCACTTACCCAAAGAACCAGACACCCGGAAAAACCTTCCACGTCAACATTGCTTGTACTAACTCAGTACTGCTACTGGTACAGGGATGTGGGAGAAGGGTTTGGAGCAAAGACTAAGGCCACCTAAGCACCTTGTGGCTGACACACCGGCAACACAGGGCCCACCTGCCCTGCCTGCTTTCCAGGTGTAACCAGACTGAAGCTTGCAAGACTATTCTCACAATAAGCAAGCATTCACTCCCCACAAATCTGAGGACCATTTTCCTAAAAATACCCCAGTCCTCACTGTGTTCCTTCAGGTCCCTACAGAGGTGACTGGGACCAGCGCCTGGGGTGCAGGGAGGGGCGGCAGTGCCACACGTGTCACTCATCCGGGGGCCCTCCGCGCCCCTTTAGATGCACAGTGAACAAGAGCCATCTCTTACCCTATGGTTGGGTTGATGTTCGGATCAAAGCTGTCTTCCACAAACCGCCAGACGATGCTGGATTTACCTACACCCGTATCCTGAAAGAGAACGAGACAGGTTCACTGGCCTGCACTGGGGAACGGAGGTCGGCGCTGTCGAAAAGCCACCCTCGGTGTGTGCATTCTACCGACTCGGGACACGCGGCAGGTTCTGCTAAACACTCGGTGGAGCAACCAGGAGATTGCAAAACGCGCTCTAGGGGAGGGCGCTGCAGGCTTGACCCACGACAAGCCCCCCGCCTCCCAGCCTGCATTAGTGCACTGCCAACTCCCGGTGCCTTCTGCGCAATGCCTGACGACTCGGGTCGTCCCACGTGGGGGCACCAGGCCAGGTACTGGGACTCCCGCCTTGAAGGCCGAAACTCGTGACGCGGAGGGTCAGCCTCGGATGGCAGGCGTCGACACGGCCACGTTGTCCCGACAAGACAGGAAACTGCGGCTTGGGCGCCGGAGCAGCCCCTACCCCACAGGGAGAGTTCCTGGGCCAAGCAAACTCCGTGGGAGGTGTCGGGGGTCCCACCCGACCGAGGGGAGGCAGGCCCGGGGTGCCGGTCACACCTGAGACCTGTCACTGGCGCTGCTTTGCAAGACTTGGCCGACTACCCACCCGTCCCTCGGTCAGCTGGGAGCAAACTGTTTGAAAGCCGCTCTCAACCCAGATGCACTGTGGGGGGCGGCCAGAGACCCCCGGGAGCAGGTGGAGGAGGGGGAGGGTCCCTCCAGTCTCCAGGGCCCGCCCGAGGACGCAGCCGGGGGCGGGCCGGCCGGGGGCTGCAGGGCGGGCGGCGTCCCGGGCAGACGCCGGGGAAGGGGAGGGGGCGCCGGGGTCCCTGCCCGCCCGGCCCGCCCGGCCTGGCCAGCCGCCGCCACTCACCCCCAGCAGACACACTTTGAGCTCCCGCAGCGCCATGGCCCGGGACCCAGGGGCGCGGGCCCGCCGCCGCCCTAAGTTGAGGAAGGAGAGGCCGGGCCCAGCAAAAGCATTCCCCGGCGCCGCCGCCACACGGCCCAGCCCCGGCCGCGGAGCGCGGGGGGACAGCGGCCGCCTGTCCGCCGGCCCTCGGCCCGGCCCGTCCGCCGCCAGCCGCGCAGAGCCCGCCTTAGTGGCCGGGACGCCGCCAGGGCCTCCCGGCCGCCGCCGCCGCCGCCATCTTGGGACGCCGGCCGGGTCACCTGACCTCCCCGCCCACCTCGGCAGCCACCTTCGCCGCGAGGGCGGGGCCGACCGGCGCGCGAGGCTGGCGGGGAGGCGGGCCCGGGGGCGGGGCCTGGGGCCGAGACCCGCCCCTCGCCCAGGCCCCGCCCCCGCCCCGCCCCGGCGCGTCCCAAGATGGCGGGTGAGAGGGGCGCCCGCAGCCCCGGTGCCACCTCTCGCGGGGGCGCCCCGCAAAGCCGGGTTGGGGGGAGGGCTGGCCGCCGCGGGCCCCTCGTCACCCCGTGTGTGTGTCTGGGTTTTCAGAGCGCGCCGTGCTCGGTGGACTTGCAGGATGACTTAGGCGACTGTCAGCAACAGTCGGGCGCCCCGCCCCTCCTGGCCCCCGTCACGGAGTCCCGGGGACCCGAAGCGGGACCCCAGCTGCCTCCCCGCGCGGGGCGCCCGCACTCCGGGGCGAGGATGGCTGTGCTCGGGAAGCTCCGGGCGGCTTGTGGCTTCCTCCTCCTGCCGGCCGTCCAGGTGCGCTCCCGCGTCCCCGTGGGCGCCCCTGTCCCGCGCCGCGTGGGCCCCGCACTCCGTGACTGGGGGCCACGGGTGCCCGTGCTCGGCCCTCCCGCCCTCTCCCCGGCTCTGGAGTGGCCAGGACAGTGGCCAGTGGCTCCTGGGCGCCGGGAGCCGGGCGAGATGACCGACACACAGCATGGGGGGCCGAGCGCTCCCGGGGCTCCAGCGCGCGGGCCTGGCCGTGGACGTGGGGGACGCCCAGACCCCGCTGCAGAGAGCCTCAACACAGACATGAAGTGGGCGCTTGCTGTATGCCACTCGCAGACAGCACTTCCCTCGCCTCTTCCCTGCCCCGCGGGTCGCCACCGTTAGAGTGGACGGAACACCTGGCCGTGCGCAGCTGTGTTGCAGCCATCTGTCCCTGAGAGGGGCAGTGCGAGCCAGTGGTTAGGGGCCCCGGTCCTGGGTGGCGTGGTCTGCCCAGTATTTGCCGGCGCACTGATTCCGGGAAATCGCGGGGCCCCACCGAGGGTCAGTGGCCTCATCTGTGAAATGGGCATCGCCGTGGCTCACCCAAGGGCATTCGTGACAAAGGGACCAGCGTGAAGCTCGCCCTGAAATACTTGGTGACTGTTGACTCCCTTTGGCTGTCATTACATGGCCGGCGTGCGTGTCTATGGAACGGTGAGGCGGGTCGGGAGAGGCCTGAGGGTCTCAGCCCCTGGGCATCTTGGACTGAGGAATGCCATGGCCATTCCATGAACCGCGTTGAGCAGCGGGCAAGGCCTTCCATGCGCAGGTCGAAAGGGCTGGAAAAGCGGCTCCCGGCAGTCGTGGCTGTCCAGCCACCCTGGAGCCCAGCGGCTTCAGCTGACAGCCTTGCCGTATTCTGCACAACTCTGGGGTTCACTGTGTGGCGCTTCTGCTCCGTGCGGTCTCCGGGACCCTGGAAGGCACAGGCCCAGCTCGGCCAGGTCGGCCTTCTCAGCATGGTGGCCACAGAGGAGTGGAACTCTTCTAGAGGCTGGCTTCCCTGGCTTTGTGTGTGTGTGTGTCTGGGAACAGGAAGCAAGAGATTATGTAGGATTGTGATTTTACGTCGGCCCTATTAGAACAGATCTTGGGTGTTCGGAACTTGTAGTGAGACATGGCTGAAGAGCTGCCATCATCATGGCGGACTGTCACCAGGCCTTGGGTGGGACAACTCTGGGAGCCTCTTGGGGCAGGAGTGGGGGAGGGGCAGGGTACCTACCTTATGACTTCCTGATGAGTTAATCTGGTAACCATAAAACCAGAACCCCCGTGCATGCTCCTCCAGGTCCTACCCTTGTATCACACCACGTGGTCCTTGTATCACACCATTAGTCCTTGTATCACACCACGTGGTCCCTGTATCACACCACGTAGTCATTGTATCACACCATGTAGTCCCTGTATCACACCACATGGTCCTTGTATCACACCATGTAGTCCCTGTATCACACCACATGGTCCTTGTATCACACCACGTGGTCCCTGTATCACACCACGTAGTCCCTGTATCACACCACGTAGTCCCTGTATCACACCGTGTGGTCCTTGTATCACACCACGTGGTCCTTTTTTTTTTTTTTTTTTTTGACAGGCAGAGTGGACAGTGAGAGAGAGAGACAGAGAGAAAGGTCTTCCTTTGCCGTTGGTTCAGCCTCCAATGGCCGCCGCGGCTGGCGCGCTGCGGCCAGCGCACCGCACTGATCCGATGGCAGGAGCCAGGAGCCAGGTGCTTTTCCTGGTCTCCCATGGGGTGCAGGGCCCAAGCACCTGGGCCATCCTCCACTGCACTCCTTGGCCACAGCAGAGGGCTGGCCTGGAAGAGGGGCAACCGGGACAGAATCCGGCGCCCCGACCGGGACTAGAACCCGGTGTGCCGGCGCCGCAAGGTGGAGGATTAGCCTAGTGAGCCGCGGCGCCGGCCACCACGTGGTCCTTGTATCACACCGTGTAGTCCCTGTATCACACCACATAGTCCTTGTATCGCACCACGTGGTCTTTGTATCACACCACGTGGTCCTTGTATCACACCGTGTGGTCCTTGTATCACACCGTGTGGTCCCTGTATCACACCACGTGGTATCTGGGCGCATTAGCACATGGTTGACAGCAAGGTCTCTGATGGCCTGTCCTGGCTGTCCCATAGCTGTGGCTGTCTTAGCTTGGGTGGATCACTCGCCCACTCTGCTCAGTTTCTCTGTCTGGAACATGGCCTGAGGGTGAGGACTGCTGTGTAGTTCGATGAGGCGCGCACAGGGAGCATGGGAGCCCGTGCTGTCACGTGGTGGTCCACTCCATAGGCTGGTTGTCGTCATGCACATCCCAGGCTTTAATTTAAGATCTTCTGATTCAGTGTTCATAGCTGCTACCCTATGAGGGGTGTGGGATTATTCCTGTTTTACAAATGATAAAATTGGGGGTCGGTGCTGTGGCGCAGTGGGTTAACACCCTGGCCTGGAGCGCCAGCATCCCATATGGGCGCTGGTTCTAGTCCCAGCTGCTCCTCTTCCAATCCAGCTCTGCTATGGCTTGGGATAGCAGTGGAAGATGGCCCAAGTCCTTGGGCCCCTGCACCCATGTGGGAGATCCAGAAGAAGCTCCTGGCTTCAGATTGGCACAGTTCCAGCTGTTGCGGCCATGTAGGGAGTGAACCAGTGGATGGAAAACCTCTCTCTCTCTCTCTCTCTCTCTCTGCCTCTCCTCTCTCTGTGTAACTCTGACTTTCAAATAATAAATAAAATAAATCTTTACAAATGACAAAATGGAAAATTAGAGAGGTTAGGTAACTTACCCAGTGTGGCATGACTCATAAATGGGAGACCCAACCGTCGAACTCTTCTGTCTCTTGTTCTCTTTTATTCTGCCTTGCAAATTGCCCTCACGGGCTCTCTTAACCCAGTGGGTGGGGCGTGCGTGGGTGGGGCTGGATGGTGCCGTATTTTTGTCTGAATGATAGTAGGCTTCTCCACTGAGACTGCAGGTCCCTTTGGGCGGGATGTAGGCCATCCTTCTCATAACGCAGTGTCCTGCCGGAGCCAGTGCTCTCCGAATGTTGCTGCAGTTAGTGGTGATGGAGTAGGAGGCTTGTCTGATGTACTTTGTGATTCTTGATTAGGTTTGACTAATTTCAAAAGAAGCTTTAACAAATGGATGCCTTGTGTTTTTTTTTTTTTTGTTTTTGTTTTTTTTTTTTTTTTTTTTTTTAAATCACTCAGAGTCTTGGGGCCATCACAGCTCGGAAGAGATTTAATTTTAGAGAATGGGTTTGCCGAAGCAGTCTAAGTTCCTTCTCTTGAGAGACAGCAGGTGGGGCGGCCTGGCACACACTGGCACACACTGGCACACACTGGTTTTTGTGTTGGGTTGTGCAGGAACGTGGAGCTGCGTGAGTCTCTGCCTAGGAGTCTGAAGGCTTGTGAGTGTCTGAGTTTGCACACCAGGGCTGAAGAGGTGTTACTGTTGATACACGGTTTGCTTTGCCGCTTAGAGTTTAAATGCACACCAATGACGGGCGAACAAAAAAAAGAAAAAAGGGGGAATCTTGCAGATATGGAGACACCTACGAGACTTATCAGCAAAGGCGATGTGTGGTCACATTTGGATCCTTAGTCGAACAAACCGAATATAAAGACAGTATCGAGGCAGCTGGGGAACGCTGAACTTGGACCTGGTATTTGGTAATATTAAGAACTGCTAGTTTTGTTGGCTATCATAGTGGTGTCGTGGTTTTGTTCAAGGGAAAAGGACCTTATCTCACCAAAATAAACACTGATGGTTGAAATGACTTCATGGTGAGGTGCTGTCTAATACTGTAGTATATAATAATAAGTCAGGAGGAGGGATAAATGGGGAAAAAATGTCAGAATGTTGATACTTGTGGAAGCTGGGGCTATTCTCTGCTTTTGCCTATGTTTGAAAATTTCCATAGCAAAAGGTTTTTAAAAACGCGAGGAGAGTGTCCCGTCTGATCAGAGGTCAGCAGGGAGACTCGGGAGGCTGGATTCTGAAGACCCGGTGAAGTTGCTGGAAGGTGCATTTAGCTTGAAATGGCTGGAAAGATGAGTGTTCGAGGCACAGTGCATTTCTCTTCAAATGTTCCGTTTTCAAGAGGTATCTGTGGACGAACTTGGGAGAAGGTGAAGATGTGTTTGTGAGAAGAGCGAGATGCCAACAAATGACGTCTGGACCTCTGCTGAGAGCACGATGAGCTCAGCCGGTGCGGCATGGACAGACGCTTCAGATCTGCCTCCTGGAAGGAGCAGTCTGTGTTCAACTCGGATAGAAGACGACTTTCAGCGCAAACTGTTCTTCGTTTCACCTGCCCACTTTGTCCGTGTTTGTGAAAATGCTCACTTCAAGGTCTGCAGCAAAGCTGTGTGTCCCAGAAGCAGAGATACTACCATCATTTGAGTCCTAAGCCAAATCAAAAGTCCAAAGCCAAACCTTTCGTCAAAATTATAATATAAGCTTGAGTCAGAGTGTTAATTTGATATATATAAAAATCTCCCTGTCAAGTGAAATCATTTGAACAAGATGAAAAAGT